CCCTTTTAAACGTCCTATCTCCAAATACAGTCACATTCCGAGGTAGGGGGGTTAGGGCTTCAACATATGATTTTTTTGGGGGGTGGGGGAGGGAGACAATTTCGCTGTAACAGAGCTGTAAGGTGAGAAATACGCCAGATGCAAGAAGAAAAGGACACAGCCCTAGCTGTCTTACAGTCCAAAGTCCAGTTGGCGAGGGAGAGAACACATGTATTCATTCATTCATTCATTCATTCACTCACATTTTCAATGAAAACCCACCGAACACTTGCTGTGTTCCAGATGCTCTGGACTGAGAATACAAAGAGCAGAGAGACAGGCCCCCCATCTTCCAGAAACCCACAGGCTAACAGGGGAGAGAGACAAGGGAACAGACAATGAGAATAGAGGGGAACCAGTGTGGTGATGAACAAACCGAGTCTCTGGGAGCTGAGGATGTCGCCGTGAGCAGTGCAGAGCGGCCATCAGGGGTGGCTTTCAGTGCTCCCTTCTCGAACCTCCCATGGCCCCTTGAGAGGACCTCTAGGCTATCACCTGCTTGACGGCACTCTGTTTTCCACATTTGTTCTCTCTACCAAGTGTAAAGTGCGCCTGCATTCTAGAAACAGTGGTGGAGAGGCCCACCCCCTGAAGGTGAGGAAAGGGTAGGGTGCAGTTAGGATTGTACCCTGGAGCTCTGCTGCACATCAGCCACAGTGGGAGTTCCTGGAATGCTCCAGACAAGCGGAGGAGGAGGAGGAGGAGGAGGAGGAGGAGGAGGAGGAGACGATGCTGTCGCTGTTGGCAGCTGGCGGGCTGGCAGGGGAGACCTCCCGAGTGCCTGCGGGGGGCACCAGAGGCTCCCCCAGCCCAAGGGCCGCATGGTCAGTGCCCAGTCCTGACTGCTTGCCGTCTTCCCATTAGGAAGCCTGGAGGAGAGAGGCCTCCTGGTGTGGAATCAAATCCAGGAGGAGTCTGAGGAGACTGCGAGGGCCTTGGAGGTGTACTGCCTCCCCTGTGGGATTGGCTCCACGTCCTGCACGTCCTCCTGCGCCCAGCGTCTCCCCTTCTGGCCCACGGGGGAAGCTGGGAGAGGTGAGCAGGGAGTGAGCCTGCTCACCTGCCTCTCCCAGAATTCCTCGGGAGAGCTCTCGGAAGGCACCATAGAAACCAAGATATGAGAAGAGCTGTCCTCACGCCTGCCCCAGGGTGCTCCTCGCCCCCCACCTCGGGTGCTCGTCTCCCCACGCGAGGAGGGGTGGGCACCCCGCACGCTGTGGCAGCCAGATAAGTATTAGATTAAGCCTGTGAAGCGTGGGCTTTGACACAGTCACTTAGTCACCACAGTGAAAACCAGTCTCCAGTGTAATCCAGCGTCCACACAGAAACTCTCTTAGGGCATATGCGCTTGGCAACATACTGACTTGGGGGGAGGAAAAGGCCTGGGGTGGGGCAGGGGGCAGAGTTGGGGCTGTTTGCTGAAAGGTGACAGGGACAGTTCTCTTCCTCCTCAAAGAGCCAGGATGCCCCAGCCCCTCCGGTCCTCCCCCTCCGTGCACCCGGCCGTCGGCCGGCTCCTCAGGAGAGGGGAGGACGACCCTCTGTTCCTCCAGCACCTTCTCTGAGCTCCTGGTGCTCCAGCCCGCGTCCGGCTCAGGCTGTTTGTGATGGATTGTTCCTAAATTTCACTCTCTTGGAATCGAGTGCACGGACTCCCGCGTAGGCCTCAGCGTGCTCCTGTAGGCTGCCGAGGGATCAGAACCCACTCCACCCGATGGCCTCCTAGTTTCATTATTTTAGTAGGTGTCAGGACTGCAGCGTTAACTCCTGCCCGAGTTTCCAGCTGGCTGGTCCGCCCCGCAGGTTTCAGATTTGCAGTCTCCACGATTGTGTGAAACAGCTCCTTAAAGCAAAATACCTAAACCTATAGCCGCACCTATACCAATCCCCATCCGCATCCTCTTGGTTCTGTATCTCTGACAGTTACAGGACTGGCTAACAAGGGAAAAGATATCGTCAAGATACAGGTGGATACCTGACTGATGTCGGAAGAGTCCTAGGTGGGGAGGAAGAGAGGATAAGTAGCATCTGAGGGGATTTTAAAGCAACATATCCATCCCGGGCTGTGCCATATCCAGTGAGCCCTGTGGGGTGGGGAGCAGACGGCTGCTGGGGCTGAGGTGTGAAGGCAGGGGCGCTCCTCGCACATGGCTGCGGGGAGAAAGGATGCTGTATTCCCCTGAGGTCCACGCAGGCCGGGGGCCCCCGTAGGACGCGATGCTCCAGGAATGAGGACTAAACAGGAGTGGGGTGGGGGCTGGTTAGAGCTGGTTAGGCCCGCATTCCTTGAGGACCTACTATGTGCTGGCATCTCTGTAGAGATTTCTTTCTTCCTTCCCATGTGCTGCCTTGTTCTTGGCTGCTGGAGTGGCTGGGGGTGGTTGTGAGCACGGGTGCTGAGCCCCCCTCTTTCTGCTCAGCACAGCCCCCAGCGGAGAGCCCCTACCTGCCCCCCCCCATTTTGGTTGTTGATAAATAGTGAAGTGACAGTCCTCGCGTATCCCCCATGGGGGGGCCTCGGGGGTGGGCTCGTGACAGGACATGAGGTGAGGGGCCAGCACTGGGGCTCAGGGCAGGCAGGACTGCGCTTGGGTCCTAACCCTTAACCTGCACCTCAGTTTCTTATGTGGTCATGATGGGAAACGGTAAAAAGCCAGGGAATCCTTTCTGTGCACGCTCGGTGTATTGGTGAGGGGTCTCCAGAGAAACAGAGCCAATAGGATGTAGGATGTGTGTGCACGCACATGTGTACACGCACGTCCACACAAGCACGTCTACATATTACATACGTGTGCAGACACACGCATAGAGATTTTAAGGAATGGGCTCATGTGATTGTGGACGCTGGAATGTCCCAAATCTGCAGAGTAGGCAGGCAGACTGGGAAGAGTTGCTGTCTGTGTCCAAAGGCAGTCACTGGCGATTTCCCTCTTCCTCGAGCTCAGGCTTCAGGGCTATTCGATCCTTCAACTGATTAGGTGAGGCCGACCCACATTGAGGAGGGTAATTATTCTGTATTTACTCAAAGTCTACTATTGTAAATGTTTATCTCATCTGAAAATACCTTCACAGAAACATCTAGAATAATGTGCAACCAAATACCTGGGTTCCGTGGCCCAGTCAAGCTGACACATAGAATCAACTATCACATCCCGTATGTGCGGCCAGGAGCCTCACCAGAAAGCACTCAGAACACTCTGGGATCTGGCTTGAACTCCATTTAGGAGTCTTTATTACCAGAAGCAGCAGAGGAAGCTGGTTCTGCCCCGATGTCCTGTAGCTCCTACAGCACACGAGTGGTCAGCACCGTTCCTGGGCTCCCAGGGCATGCAGAATGAGTGAGTGGCCTCCAGAACTCTCTAGAACCCACCAGAACTATGTCGTGACTCCAAGGTGTGCTGAAAGTACCCAGTGTCATGGCACCTCTGGGGACAGACCCCACCTGTCCTTTCTTGAAAGGCCCGTGGCCCGGGCTTCAGCCAGGCTGCCCCCAGGACCCCCGTAAAGAGGAACACAGCAGGAGCAGGTGTGTGCCTTGGCATCCGGCCAACCCCTCACACCAAACAACCCTGAGGGACTGACACAGGGCCATACTACTTTGCGAATACTTTATAACAATCAGAAACGGAAACCATCCAAATGCTCTGGGACAGCCACTCCAAAATGTCCCGGAAGGCTGAGGCAGGTACGGCTTTGGCTGTCGGCATAGTACTTGGAAGCTGCCCACCTCCGTTCACCCCCTCCCTTCCCAGCCCTTGTGCGTCACAGGTCTTCATCATCGAAGGTCTCCATGCACCTCAACATGATCATCTCATCATCAACGGGGAGGTCTGGTTCCTGCAAAACACAGGGTGGAAGAGGATCAGTTTTTATTTAAGGAATCCAGTCCCCAGGCAGATGAGAAGGCCCCCGTGTCTCCCCGAGAGTCCACCCCATCTCTTGCTGCATCTTCTCTAGCTTCTCTAGCCAGGAAGTAAGGGCTACGGGGGAGGGCGGGGGGCAGGTCCCTTTTCCGTTTCACTCAACTCCACACTCTATGATCTTCAGAAAGGGTTTTCTTGGCTGCTTTTCCATCCTGGGGGTTTCCAGGATCGCGTAAGAGGTGGGGGGGGGCGGGTGGACAGCATCAAAGCTTGTTCCAAATGCCCATCAATGGAGGACAGTGAGTTATGCCATGGTGCACCCACCAAGGGAATACCATGCAGCTATTTGAAATTAAAGGAATGAGATGGTTCTCTCTCTGTGGGGTATACGATTTAAAAGGAAAAGAGTGAAGTACAAGGCAGTGTGCAAAGTAGACTATCATTTGTGTTTGAGAAAGAATATACAAATATCTGTAGAGTATCTCTGGATGGCTGCACAAGAAACTGGTGACGGTCATTGCCTTTGGGGAAAGGAATGGGGGCATGGCCAAGGGACGCTGGTAGGAGACTGAGTTTTCTTTTGGTAACTTTCAAGTTTTAAACTATGTACATGGGTTGACTATTAGATCATTTTTTTAAGCAGCATCACGGTGTGTGTTTAGCAGGGGTTTTTTATTCCCTTTACAATGACCCCCACCGACCTGACTCGCTATTACCTCTCCCCCTAAAAGTATGTTCCTGGGTTTTGCTCTTCCCGTCTTTCCCCACCTTGGCAGAAAGTGACCCCTGTAGTTTGTTACCCTGCTGGTCAGGGGCCAGTCCCCGTGGGCCCCGGGAGGTATCCCTAAGCCCAGTCAACCACCTCGTGAATGTGGGACATAGTCCCCCGGGTGATGGCCAGCTTGGGAGAAGACTTTGCTGACGTCCTCACTCACGGTGCTCTACTGAGGAAGGCAGGGTGCGTGGGGAGCCAGCGTATCCGAGAGGGAACTAGGTGGTCTCTAGGAAAGTCATGTGGGCCCTCATTCAGGGTGAAGACCACAGCAAAGCTTGAGAAAAAGACGGAGTGGAGCACAGGGGGTGCCAGGAGGCCAAGCATCCCAGGAGGGGCCACATACTCAAGTCTGTGTCACACCAAGGGCTTGAATGTTGTTCAGAAGGGTCCAGTTCCCTAAGCCCCCGAAAATGGTGCCCAAGGCATTTTTGAGCTGCAGATTTGCAAAAGCAGCAGGTCGCGAGAGGTATCTGCTGGTCTCAGGTGCTGAATAGTAGCCTATCCACCCCAGTTCACGCCCACCTGGGACCCTATTTGGAAAGAGGGTCTTTGCAGGTGTAATAAGTTAAGGATTGCAGGATGAGCTCATCCTGGATTTAGGGGGGGGCCTTAATCCAAATGACTGTTGTCTTTATAAGAAGATGCGAGGGACTGGGAGACACATGGAAGAGAGAAGGCCATGTGAAGACAGAGACCATGACTCGAGGGAGTCAGCTGCAAGCCAAGGACTGTGGGGGCCACCTGAAGCTAGGAAAAGGCAAGGCAGGACTCTTCCCTAGAGCCTTCTGGGGCGGCATGGCCCTGCATCTTCTCTAGCTTCTGGCTACATTTGGCCTTGATTTGGTCTTCTGGCCTCTAGAACTGTGAGAGAAGACATTTTTGTTATTTTAAGCCAGTCCTAGGTGCTGTCCAGGTGCTGAGTGCTAACACAGCCTTCCTAGGACACCATACAGGCGCTAATTAAAATTTCATCCAACGACCTCGGTCAAGCTGACAGGGGAGGTGGATGGGGAAGAGAATGAGATTTCCCTCTTTATACAGCGTATGGCAAAGGCTGGCGGCCTCCTGCCCCAGAGCCACCTGGCCAGCTTGTTCAAAATACGCATTCTTGGGGCCCCGCCTCACAACAGTGAATGAGGATCTCGGGTGCCGGGGCACCAGGAATCTGCATTTTCGGTTAGCTCCCGAGAGGATTCAAGTTTGAGCATCTCTCTGCTTTATACGGATACTCCAGTCCTGCTTGGTCTTTCTTTTCTACCATATGCGGGGAAAAGGAAGCAGGGAAAGCAAAGACTGGCCTCGGTAAAGTGGACTGACTTTCCTGTGTCCGAGAGAAGGCGGACACAGCAGTAAGGGCCGGACGGCCAAGAGCTGATGGGTGGTGCAGAGCAAGCGGAGGGGAGCCCTGGGCCCCAAGTGGAGATTCAGAGTGGTCTCGGCAGAGGCAAGGAAGGGTCAGTAGGAAGAGGGCCACTAATAGGATGATACCTTAACCTATTGAAAAGCTGTCCTAGTTATTTTTAGACAAGCATTGTCATTATTACTGCTTACTTTTTTATTTCTTTTAGTTTTTTTTTTAATGTTTATTTTTGAGAGAGAGAGAGAGAGAGAGAGCGAGCATGAGCAGGGGAGGGGCAGAGAGAGAGGGAGACACAGAATCTGAAGTGGGCTCCAGGCTCTGAGCCGTCAGTACAGAGCCTGACTCAGGGCTTGAACCCACGCACCGTGAGATCATGACTTGAGCCGAAGTCGGACGCTTAACTGACTGAGCCACCCAGACGCCCCTGTTGCTTACCTTTTTAAATTAACAGTTGTGTCTTTGCTAAATTCGGAGAGAAATTCCTTGGTTATGAATCTGAAGCGGCCTGTGCCCTTGGTGCCTCATGCCTCACTCCCCTCCCCGCATGAAAATTTCTGGAACGTACCTTCTAATGAAGACACAGTCAGCTTTTGGGAAGCGGAAATTAATGCCCTTCAAAAGCTGACAGCAAACATTAGCACAGGGGCTCAGAAGATGACAGAACAGCTCAGCCCCTCCAAAAGCTGTCACCCAGTCACACAACATTCACAAATGCCTGCCAAGAGCCAGGTCCCCATCTCAGGCCTGCCCGGGGAACATCCGTCAGTCTCGTCCCTCAGCTTCCCTGGACATCTTCTATTCCCCAGGGTGCATCAGCCTGACTCTCCTCTCGAGAGTCCTTTCTGGCATCCTGCGGGAGGTGAGCGGAGGCCTCCCATCACTCTGCTCGGTCCTACCTGTTTTATCTGAGTGTTAACGCAGCAAAGGCCTTTAAAAAAATCGACGATCTGCATGTAGAGCTGAAACTTCTCCTCTGGATTTTCTGGGTTGCTGCCGGCAAATGCTGAACTGACAAAGGGGAAGAAACAGCAAATATTTAGAATCCTAATCTTCGGCCTCGGCTGGTAGCCCCTAAAATATGCGGCTTACAGGGTGAACCACGCACTTGGAAGCACCCGGCTGAATTCTCAGACAGCCTGGAGGTCTGCCTTGCCTCGGCTTCAATGTCACGTGTGGAGCTCACGGGAAAAGAGAGACTACAGGGAGACTGGCTCCTGCGCCCTAATTTAGCGTTCTGAGCTGTGGCCTCTGGAAGAAGGGAGCTAAACTGCCTCTGTCCCTCAGGCTCGCCCTCGCATAGCCGCGCTCCACGGTCCTGGTCCCCCTGTGGCAGCTGACGGAGCTCAGGGGGCATCCGCCACACTTGGGCTCAGTCCCCTGAGATGCCTCCCCTCCGTAGGTCTAACACAGAACGCAGCCCTGATGCAGGGAGAAGGCCTGCTTTGCAGACTCCTTCCCGCTGCCTTCCCAACAACTTCAAAGAAGCCTTAAGTCATGTGGGGAGAGCCAGCATGTTGACCTCACTTCCCCTGGGACCGAGGTCCCACAAGCCGCGTAGGAACCCTCCGGCAGCAATCCATGCCTTTTCCAGGGAGAGCAGGAAACATTTTTAATAGGTTGTTCTCGTGTTCCATCGTCATAGTAAGGAGTTCCAGGTTGGCGAAGTTGTCTCCACAGCCCAAGCCCAGCTCAGAAACAGGAACATCCATCCGCTTCCAGCCTGTTTCAGCAGAACCAAACCCCACACAGCTGAGAGGAGCTTGAGTCACCTCATCAAACCGCTTTGGAGAGTTTGGACAAGTCTGTTGAGGCTGAGTGGAGCAGGCAGGCGGGAGGGACACAGGCTGATGTCAGGTGACCGGGGACAGCCTGGCCGCATGGCCTTGGCAGAGAGTGGGGATATTTGTTGGGGTATGAGGACAGGAGTGTCTCCTCACTCCCAAAGAAGAAAAACTAAATAATCGGGATTTTTTTTTTTTTTTTTTTTTTTTTTTTTTTAGCCATGACACGGGCGCAGGTACCTGTGCCTATAGGTTAGAAGACCACAGCTTTCCAAAGCAGCAAAGGAATTTGCGTCCCAATCAAGCTCTCTTTTCGAAAAGCCCCTGCGCTACGGATTTAGTCAAGCTGCTTGTTTGGGAGTCTCCCCAGATCCTATTTTGTGTCTTCTTGCTTCATGGGGTCAGCTGTCCCCTCCTCCCCTCTTCCCACCTCCATCCCTAGAAGCACCGTGAAAAGCCACTTCTCCCCTGTCCAGCTCGGGGCATGGTCCGTTTCCACATTGGCCCAGCCTCTCGGGGCGGGGTGGGGGGGCGGAGCCCCTGCCCACGTCTCAGACCAGACAACCGCAGCAACCTGCCCGTGGCCCCCCTCACCCTGGGAAGATGGTGCAGTGTGAACAGCCTCGAGCTCATGACCTGCTGCGTCTCAGCCCTGGGCCAGGATGGAAGCATTTTCTACGTAGAAGCCTCAGCTCAGTGGCACGATCCTAGGACCAGCCTGCTTCGAACCACAGGCTAAAGTGGATCTCTAAGAACTTCTGCGGAATTTGGCACCCCTCTGTGGGGCTGCAGGGGAGCGGCCCCTAAGCATCCGCACAGGGGTCCACACACACACTCACACTCTTTCATACCCCTTTCCTCACCTAGAGCTAGAAGTACTTGGAGCCTCACTTTTGTCCAGGAAACTTGCCACATCGAAGGCATCTTCAAAGAGTATCTGAAGGAAGGCACAGAACGTGATGTGTCAGCACTAGTTTGGCACCTGCTCTGGGCCGCTGGCGGACACGAATAGAAAGGCTCTCTCTTTAACCCTCACTCCCCAAAGGATGGGTATGTGAAAGTTGGGGCCCAAACACAGGATCTCTGCTTGGTGACCTTCCCAGGCCGTGCACAGTAAGCGCTTGCCCACCCAGAACAAAGTGCCAACCCTAGAGGTGGCCACAAGGGACGGGGGAGCACCAAGGACTGCGGTCTCCTCTTTCTAAAGAAGGTGGGAGCCCAGGCGTGAGACACAGCAGCCAGAGTCAGGCTTCAGTTTGCCCTGGGAGAGGGCTCATCTACACCTCCCAAGATGCAGAGGCTACACGAGCCCAGGATCCCCAAGCTGGCAGTCATCTATCAGCCAGGACAGCCGGAGAGAGGTTGGGGGCGCTGGGGTGAGGCTGCAGGAGGGCCAGCTCCCAGTCCTGCCATTCACTAAGCCGTGTGACTTCAGACAAGTGACCTCATTTCTCGAATCTTCCTCTTATGTAAAGGGAATCACAATAGCGCCTACCCACAGGGACACTGCAGGAATTAAATAAGATGAGGTCGGTGAAGCACCCGCCTCCGAAACGTTAGCTATTATTGAATATTAATCTGCTTTGTAAAAGAAACACATGTTCATCGTGAAGATTTTGGAAAATAGAAACAGAAAGAAATGAAAACCACGGAGAAGCTGCCCACCCAGAGAGGTCTATTGTTGACATATTGACCTGTTTCTCTCTGGTCATTTCCTGGGGCGTGTTACATTGGATACTTCGATTTTGCAGTCTTGTTATTTAGATGGCTTTCAGTCCTGCGTTTACTTTCTTGAAGAATATTAAATATTCCACAGGAATGTGATATATACACTTAGGAATGCAAGGATTAGCAAATAAAAATGCAGGGTGCTTCGTTAAATTTGAATTTCAAATAATCGGTTTTTGTTTTTTGTTTTTAGCATAAGAATGTCCCAGATATTGGGCGGGACATTCTTACATAATTTTCACCAGGGACGCCTCCCTGTGTCTGACACCCCATTTACGAGGGCAGTCACCCTGAGAAGAGGAGAGGGAGCTCTCTGGCCCATAGCTGGCAGGTTCCATAGGGTCTCTCCCCTTACCTGAGACACACTGTTCTATCTCTGGAGGTCTTGTGTCTGTCTTTCTTATCTTCTTACAATTTGCTTCCCCTGAACTGAATCCCTTGGGACTCTGGCCATGTGGATGGCCCTTCTTCTTCTTCTCCTTTTTTTTTTTTTTTTTTTTTTTTTTTTTTTTAATTTTTTAAATGTTTATTTTTGAGAGAGAAACCGATGGCAAGTGTGAGAGGGGCAGAGAGAGAGAGAGACGGAGACACAGAATCCAAAGCAGGCTCCAGGCTCTGAGCTGTCAGCACAGAGCCCGAAGTGGGGCTTGAACTCCTGAGCCAGGAGATCATGACCTGAGCTGAAGTCGGAAGCAGAACTGACTGAGCCACCCAGGCACCCGGATGGCCCTTCTCCTGATCTTTTAGACATTTTATGGTGAACCTTCTTTCTAATATCCCTTTGCTTATCTCCAAGAGGGTCTGGGAAGAGGTCACTGAAAGGACCAGCCCAGAAGCCCATCCACTCTGTGTTCTTCCCCTGCAGGTGGGAGGCAGGGTCCTGGGCCCGAAATTCCTGCCTTTGACCAGTCAGCCCACTGAAGTTCCAGGCCACACACTGTCCTCAGCTGTGCACATGGCTCTCGCAGCTAGCCTGGCCGGGGGTAGGGGTGCCCTGCCAGGCTCTGTGGCCCTTCTGGAGCACCCAGCACACTCACGGGGCCTTGGTTCTCAGACCCTCCCAGGCACACCTGACCCTGCATCCAGGAGCTGGCTCCAAACACAGTTGTTCTGCAGCAGAACCTCTCCAGATGGACCACGAGCTACAAAGACTTCACTGCAACTAAGTTAGAAGCCAGAGTAGTGACTGGCCCTGCCCTGGGTGTAACTGTTCTCTCTTCTGTTCACCTGGTCACCCAGCCCTGGGTTGGCCCAAGCCTAGGGATGGCAGTGAGGCAGAGCCGTCATCTGGGCACTGCTGAGGAACTCTGCTGCCGGAAGAATGTGAGCCCTTAGCCCTTTCTGGAAAGATCCGCTGCTTCCATGATTTGGGGACATTAGATTCTGGGTTGGGTCTGTCCTTCCCTGAGGAAAGGTTCGTGCCGCAAATGCACATACACGCCTGTACACATCGGTTTACAGCTTGAAACACTTGTCTGCCCATTTGGCATATGTTTTCCTTTTGCCTTCTTTGTGTGAGACCTCAGGGCCAGGCGATTCGGGGCTACACAGACATCGAGGCTGGCTGACATGCCTTGGGTATGAGGTCTTCAGCGACTGGTTTCCTGGCCCCGCTTTGACCACTATGGAGGAGAACTCAGGTCCTCTCATGGTGAAGCCAACATTAATGGACAAATAGGTGAGAAGCCCAAGTCCAACTGGGGCAGGGGAGGGGACATACACAAAAGCTGACTGACTGTTGCATATCTGCACTGAGAGTTCCTTCCAAAATGCCCTCATGCATCAGTCACCTGGGGTGTTTGTTAGAAATGCAGGTTCCGGGGCGCCTGGGTGGCTCAGTCAGTTGAGCTTCCGACTTCGGCTCAGGTCTTGATCTCGTGGTTCACAGGTTCGAGCCCCACATCAGGCCCTGTGCTGACAGCTCAGAGCCTGGAGCTTGCTTCGAGTTCTGTGTCTCCCTCTCTCTCTCTGCCCCCACCCCCCACCCCCCCACACACACACTCATTCTCTCTCCCCCCCTCTCTCTCTTTCAAAAATAAACTTTTTTAAAAATGAAGGTTCTGAGCCACCTGAGGGGCCAGGTACTCCGCTTCAGTGGGTCTGAGGTATTAGCCAGGTACCTGCCTTTTTACTAGACTCCACTTGAGAAGGATCAGGGGAGATCACGGAAGGCTGACCATAGACAGGTGACCAAAGAAAGATTTGAAAAATTCTTTAGGGGCGCCTGGGTGGCGCAGTCGGTTAAGCGTCCGACTTCAGCCAGGTCACGATCTCGCGGTCCGTGAGTTCGAGCCCCGCGTCGGGCTCTGGGCTGATGGCTCAGAGCCTGGAGCCTGTTTCCGATTCCGTGTCTCCCTCTCTCTCTGCCCCTCCCCCGTTCATGCTCTGTCTCTCTCTGTCCCAAAAATAAATAAACGTTGAAAAAAAAAAATTAAAAAAAAAAAAATTCTTTGATGAAGGAGATACAACCTCTGAAGCAGGAGCTGAGCATCCTGGACAAGCCACCTCACTCCTTAGGCCTCATCAGTAAACCAGAAGCCCTGGACTAGGTGAGTGACATCCTGTTGCTGTCCGGGCCCCCGGCCCTGAGGGCTGGGCAACTTCCTGGACGATGGAGCATTTCAGGGCTGTATCCCCAGGGTCCCAGGCACTAGGAAGCTGTCTGGCTCTAAGGCTCCCCACAGAGCCACAGAACATCTCCTCAAAGGGACCACCCACTAAGGGGTGCTTGGAAAGTCAGGGCAAGCAGAGGGGTGCGGCTGACCTGGTGGAGGCCATGGTTACTAAGTGTCCTGCAAAGCACAGGACAGGCGCAGAGAGCACAGAACTGCCTGCCCCAAGCTAGAGAAGCAGGTCAGAAGGGCCGTGAGGCAGCAGCAGCCTCCTGAGGCTATTCTAATTCTGGAAGCGCAGCTGAGGGGCCCGCTTCGATCTCAGCATTGAGTGACCACTAATGCCACCAGACACACTGCTTTGAGAGGCCGATAGTCGATAGTGAATTCCTCTCTTTTCACTGAATGGCAGCAATGCTCTTGGGGGTGGGAACTGACCTCCTCTTAGGGATTGGGCCTAACCGGTCCAAACATAATACGTTCTCGATGATGTCAGTCATTGGCTCAGTAATCTGGCAATCTGGCCAATGGGAGGGCAGGAGAGGTATGGCAGAAATTTCTGGAAAAGGTCTTCCTTGACCATTAAGAAAGAGCCACATGAATCTTTCTCTCTCTTACCTGATGTGGAGGAGGGACTATACAGCTCAAAGGCTCCTAGCTGCCATTCTACAGTCACACGGGAAGGTGGGGAGGGGAGACAAGGTGAGGAGTCAGCCTTACGATGAGGCAGAGCAGGGAGAGGGGAAGGACCAAGTCCACGGTGACCTCACTGAGACTAATGGGAAGCCCTCCTGACCTTGGGACTTCCCTGCATGGGAGAAGCACCTTTCCCTTCATGGTTTAATGAGCGAGTAACTGGCAGCGAAAACAATCCCAACTGATAATGACCTTTTAAGCCTTCTCTTCTATGGTCGCCGTGGAAAGCTCAGGAAGCAGGAGAAAAAGGAATGCCATTCTGTGGTGGTGGCGCTTAGGCCGGGAAAATCAGAAACACACGGCTTGAGTCAGAATTTAAACACTACCTCACATTTGGTAAATGACCCCAAGTAGACCCCTGGTGTCTCCAGGCCAAAGGCAACGGAATCGTTCCCGCGCACTCCTCCCCCTGACCCAGAGACGGTCTGCTCACCTCCTCTGGGGTAGAGACGAGTGAGCAGCTGGCTCCTTGGCTGTCAACCCCACTGTCCTTCACGCTGCCCTCGGCACAGCCTGCCTCCTGATAGGTACCGGCAAGGCCCAGGAGGCCGCTGTTCCTCTGTGCCCAGGCCTGCAGGAGACTGGTCTTCCTCTCCTCAGAGAGGTTCTGCCACAGGTGGGAGATGGCTGCAGAGATGATGGGGAGTGTCACCTCCTGTGAGGAGACAATCCCATTCCCGATCAGAAGGTCCATCATCTGTTTGTAAAAGTTGAGATACCTGGAACAGAAATGGCGTCATCTCCCAGACCTGAAGCCAGTGGCCGAAGGTCCCTCCCCAAACCGTCTCCTCAGGTGTCCATTAGTGGGGTGGTCCACAGCACACGAGCAGTGCCACAGCTCTGTGGTTTACCAGGGGCTTAGCCTTTCTAGTCTGCATGCCCCTGACACTTGGAGAGCAGAAGCCATCTGGGGGGCCGTGGAATGATATAGATCTGGGCTCCAGGGTCCTTCCCCAACGTCTTCCCAGAGTTCCCATGGAGCTCTCTGCCTAATAGAAGAGAGAACAAGGAGCCCACGCTCCCTGCTCGCCTCTCAGCCCATGGGAAAAGTGCTTATAATTCTAAGCCCCATGAATGTGCAGCCATGATATGACGCTTGCTTTATTTCAGGGCCGGAAAGGCGCAGCTGTGGAGCGAGCCTCCTTCTATTGGCCTCCAGAAGCCAACATGGCTGCCATGGGTCTTAAGTCTGTGGAGGGGCAGTGGCTGGCTGTTGGAGTCCAGGCCAGTCATCCACTGTATTTCTTACTATAAGACCAGTAATGCAGCTGGTGTGTGTGTGTCTGTGTGTGTGTGTGTATGGGGGTATTTGGTCCTCCTAATCCCCATCATAGCCCCCACAAAGTCACCCCAAATAAATACCCAGTCTAAGTAAACTCAGTGTATGTGCTGTGCAATGCAACTTCAAGATTATTTCTCTAGCTCTTCTGCCAACCCCACCCCGAGCCCCTAACATACGGAAATTCTGGAGCTTCCTTGATTTGGGGCCTGGTCTGGAAGTGCACCGGGGATGCAGCCTGCTGCAGACAGAGCCTCTGACCCCTTCCCCACAAGAGTTCAGGCCATGCGTGAAGCCACCCTCCCAGCCGTTCACACCGTTCAAATTCCATGAGGTCTGGCAACAAGGTGACTGGAGAGTGTAAGGGCTCCACTTTCTTCTCTTCTTCCTCTTCCTCTTCTTCCTCTTCCTCCTCTTCCTCCTCTTCTTGGTCTTCCCCCTCTTCTTCCTCCTCTTCCTCCCCCTCAGCATCCTTCCCAACTGCCTCAATTGGGCACCAGTTGGCAGAGCCATTATGACAAAACTTATTTGAGACCAGGCTGGTGAGAAAACAGAAACAAGACAACCACAAACTAATGCCCCTCATGAACACTGACACTGACATTCTGAACACAATTTTAATGTGAGCGTGTGCACGTGCGTGTGTGTGTACACATCAAGACCAAGTGGGGTTTATCCTAGGAATGCAGGATGGCTGGCTCAAACTTTGATGAAATTCCATCAGTGGAATTCACTGTAACAGCAGACTTAAAGAAGAAAAACCAAACGATCCCCTCAATAGATGCCGAAAAGCACTCCTCAAAATTTAACATCCATTCATGACAAAGACTCTCGGCAAACTGGGAATAGAAGGGACCTTCCTCAACCTGATAAAGGGCATCTATGAAAAACCTACAGCTAACATCATACTTAACCGTAAAAGACAAAATATGTCTCTGCTAAGGTCAGGAACAAGACAGGGATGTTCACTCTTACCACTTCTGTCCAATATAGTACTGGAGATTCTAGCCAGTCCAACAAGGCGAGCAAAAGAACAAAACGATACACAGGTTGGAAAGGAAGAAGTAAAACTCATTTTATTTGCAGACGACACAATAATCTATGTATGAAATCCCAAAGAATCTCCAAATACGTGACTAGAACAAAGAAGGGTGTTTAGGAAGGTTGCAGGATACAAGGTCAATATATGAAAACCAATCGTATTTCTATATTCCAGTGATGAACAACTGGAAATTGGATTTTTAAGAAGTGCCGTTTATAACAGCACCCCCAAAACACCGAATACTTAGGTTCACGCCAAAACCTCAACCTCAAAAAGAAAAAATGGGTAAGTTAGACTTTATCAAAAATTTCAAATTCTGCTCTTCAAAAGGCAGTTTTAAGAGAGCAGAACAGCACGACACGATTTGGAAAACCAGGATTTGTAACCCAGAATCTCTTCATCTGATAGGAGTAATCTCCAAGGCATCATGTTGAGTTAAGAAGCAAGTGCACCAGAAGAAAACCTGGGAAGATTCTTTTATTTGTAACATTATTTTTTTAAATGTTTATTTATTTTGAGAGAGAGAAGCAAAAAAAGAGGGGTAGAGAGGGATTCCATGCTGAGTGGGGAGCTGGACGTGGGGCTCAATCTCGCTACTGTGAGATCATGACCTGAGCTGAAATCAAGAATTGGACGCTTAACCAACTAAGCCACCCAGGCTCCCTTCTTTTTTTTTTTTTTTTTTTTTTTTTTTTTTTTTTTTCTTTTTTAAATTTCAGAGCACAGGAAGCCTTTCTGAGTAACCATAACAGATGGACAGATTAGACTTCATTTTTGCGTGGCCAAAACAAAAAGCCAAAACATAATAATAATAAAGCAAAATAATAAAGCAAACGACCAAAGGATAATTATTTGCAAGTCATATCCTAAAAGATGGCTGGCTAATTGCTTGGTCTATACAGAGGACTTCTACAGCCATGTGGGAAAAAGACCACCAACCCAACAGGAAAATGGGCAAAAAATAGGCACTAAAGGTTGCCAGGAAAAGAAATACAAATGATCTTGAAGGAAGACACTGAATTTCACTCCTAACTTAATGAATTAAAATACAATAACTATAAAATATAATTAATCTATTCCTGAGCTGATGCCACACTTTTAATTGCTGTAGGTCTATAATCTATCTAGAGAAAAATCCTAATTATTATGATTTAAAAAGAAATGTAGCCATTCTCACATGGGCACATGATATAAGTATCGATAAGATTTTAGTATGGGATACAGGGGGTATCTTAACTTGGTAGGGGAAGGATGGCTTACGGAAATGGATGGGGTTGGGATCAGTGGCTGATCATTTGGGAACCGCCAATGCAGTTGTCTGCCTCAATGAGATGATCCCTCCTTTGCTGATTGCACGGTGGTGCCTGGGGGTCTTACCTGTGATTTCCAGAGTACATGCTGGCATATTCTGCCTTGACCTCCTCTAAGCTGTTTGCATTCCCGTCCTCCAGCTTGAAGGATTCTATTGGGGAGGTGAAGGCAAGGGTCACAAACGGGGAGGCCCAGCCTCTGTCGACTCCCTCCTGCCCTTCTGATCCAGGTGGACCATGAGTGGTCCCTGAGCCCACCCAGATTCGGGTTAGGGTGTCAAGGGTCCAGTTTCACCTCTTCTTCTAGAGGTAAGGGGGAGAAGTTTCTTAAATCGGCCCTTCTCAATCAAGACACCAAAAGTATCCCTTTTAGAATTCAGTTTCCACCAGCTTAGTAAGCCCAAATTCCTCGCCAGCCACCGTTCCCACACTGAGTGCCAAGAAAGGGAGCCAGGCTCTGCTTTTGGGCATGATAAGTACCGGTCTGCTTCCTCTCTGGTCTCTCAAGATGGGATCAGGTACCTGAGGGCTTCCGTCTGTCCTGCCAGACTGTAAGCTCCCTGAGTGCAGGGGAACAAATCTCCTTGCACTCCTGGCTTCAGCACAGTGCCTGGCACATGGTTGTCACGCAGGAAATACCTGCTCACTTGGCTTAATCCAATCGCTCTGCTTTCGGCGGAAAGACCAACCAGTCTTTCCCTGGGAAGGAGACGGGGGTGGCCGATAGGGGTCCATTACCTTTCATCTTCAGAAGATTGTCCAAGGTTTGCTCCAGCTCCTGAATATGATTCTTCGCCTTATTCAAAACCTGCCACTGGGAACCGAGACAGACAATGCTGAAAAGCCAGCCTTCCACCCCCGAGGCTGCGGTCTCGTGGACTCAGGAGTCCGTTCCGTAGGCTGACGCCATGCTCCCTCAGATGCAAAGTCACATTCCTTGACATTGTCAATAAAAAGGTCGGGAAGTTTGTTCGGAAGCATTTAATTTGTATTCTGGAGACGGTTCTCACAGAAATGCTAAAATATTTGGTAACAGGGCTGTGTTCTGCAAGCTACTACGGCTTCCAAAGGGCAAACAGCTATAGATGTTCCTTGAAGATGGAGTGAACTGTGGCCGAGCAGCAGCCCCAGGCTGGCGCCAAGACCCAGAACTAACTTCTGCTCAGTTATCGCAATGAGCAACTGGCTGGTGAATATGATAGTTCTTATTTGCTAGATGCATACACTTCAGCTGATCAAAAAACACCAAATGCCCTGTCAACTTGAACTCTGAATTTCCTGTTGCTGCAGGGCTAAGTCACAAGCATTCCCCTCCTCCTTCTCCCCTTCCTTCTCTCCTGTGTGTAATATTCCTTTAAAAAAATTTTTTTAACGTTTATTTATTTTTGAGAGAGACAGAGCATGAGCGGGGAAGGGGCAGAGAGAGAGGGAGACACGGAATCCGAAGCAGGCTCCAGGCTCTGAGCTGTCAGCACAGAGCCTGACGCAGGGCTCGAACTCATGAACCACGAGATCATGACCTGAGCCGAAGTCGGATGCTCAACCGACTGAGCCACCCAGGCGCCCCTATTCCTAAAGTCAAACGGTGATTGCAAGATTACACAAACACAAGAAATGCTAAATACTGTTTATTGGCTGACCACCGATAGCTGTCCAGAGTTCCATACGTTCATCAGGCAAGTGCAACAGGCAGAGCTGTGCGTTCGGCCCCTGGGGACACAGAGTAAATCAGATGGCACCTGCTTTCCAGCAGGAAGGACAAGGCAAGCGTGGAAACGACTTGTAACACAGGCTAGAATTCAGTAGGCACCAAAGGTAGTAGAAGCGTTTCCCATGGAAACGCATGGGAAGGGGCACTGATTCCAGCTGGAGGCGTCCAGACGACCTAGAGCACGGCAGCCAAGCAAGCAGGCCGAGCTGAGCTCTGGAGAGCGCAGTGTCTCAAAGGCAGGCCTCCACGCAGGGACAGAGACGGAGCCGCTGGGGACGTGGGCCGCCCCAGGGGACTGGGGAAGCCAGGTGTGGCCAGGGCCAGGGCAGGCAGTGCGAGAGGAAGCCAAAGCAGCCACGGGCGCACAGCCCCGGTGCCGTCCCAGCGTCCCGCCTGGTGCACAGAAAGGAGGCTTGAGGGGAGCGAGAAGCACGACACTCTGCTGCCCCCAAAACCGCGACAGGAGAATGCAGTTGATCGCGAGATCTCGAATACTCCTTTTATTTTATTTTGTAAATGTTTTTACATGTTTATTCATTTTTTGAGAGAGAGAGAGAGAGAGAGAGCGCAAGCGAGTAGGGGAGGAGCAGAGAGAGAGAGGGAGACACAGAATCCGGAGCAGACTCCAGGCTCTGAGCTGTCAGCAAGGAGCCCGATGAGGGGCTTGAACTCACGAACCACGAGACCATGAGCTGAAGTCAGACGCTTAACCAACTGAGCCACCCAGGCGGCCCCCGAATACTTTTACCTGGTTCCCAGCATCTCAGGCTTGTTCTTAATCAGGATGAGGTGAGGCCTTTCTGGCCCTCTGGCCCAGACACCCCATGCTCATTTGCAGTCTTAGAGGGCCAACACAGAGCCATGGAAGCCGGGTGCTTCCAGAATGTTCTTGGCAGGCTAATTAGGACCTTAGTTCTGGGTTGAATTATATCCCTCTGAAAAAGATATGTTGAAGTTCTAACTCCCAGAACCTGTGGATGTCACCCTGTTTGGAAATAGGTCCTTCGTAGACTAAACTAAAGCGAGGTCAATAGAATGGGCCCTAATCCATCCAATGTGGCTGGTGTCCTTATTAAATGGGGAAATTTGGATGCAGAGACAGACGTGCACAGAGGGAGGATGAGGTGAAGACACAGTGAGAAGACGGCCAAGAAACTGGAGTGGGGCATCTCTAAGCCAAGGAACGCCAAGTAATTGCTAGCAAACGCCAGAAGCTGGGAGGCAGGCAGGGTTTTCCCCTAGAGCCTTCAGAGGGAGCATGGCCCTGTGGACACCTCGATTCTGGACTCTGAGCCTCTAGGACTCCTAGACAATACATTTCTGTTGTTTCAAGCCACCCTATTCCTGGTATTTTGTTAGGGCGAACCTTTTCTTCATGCCTATGAGGAAGGCAGAATTCAGGGCTGTCCCTCAAGCAGGATGAGGAAAAAAGGAGAAGAGAGAGAACACCTGGTCTGCCTGCTGTTTCCTGGCTGTGCCATTCCAGGCAAATTGTTTACCTTTCTGGAGCCTCCATTTCCTCCTCTGTAAAATGAGATCAGAATGGAATTGTGGCAGATAAATGAGGTAATACACTAGTAAGGGACCAAGACGGAAGCCATTACGACAATGCCACATCTTTCCACGCAACGATCTTATTAGGTGCCACGACAGGCCTCTGAGGAAGCCGTTAGTGTTGCCCGTGTTTAAGGGAGGTGGTGAAGGGAGCCTGGCAAGTACCTTGTCTCACATGGACCCAGGCCAATCCGCCAGGCTCTCCACCACCACGTCACGAGGTACAGACTTTAGGGGGTGCAAATATAGAGGAAAATACAGTTTTCCTCTATATTTGACTTCGATTATTTACTTGGGGGCCCTGTTCTTTCTCTGGTCATGCTGCCAGTCTGTGCACACTACTTCACTGGCCAGTGACGGGGACTTTGGGTTTTCGGCGCATCCCCGGGCACAGGTAGCAGATTCCTCCTCGGCGAGGGGACACGGCGCAGAGCTATGCCCGGACGGGCTCTTTGCCCTGAGCCCCCGAGCCTGGCTCAGCAGAGAGAGGAGGAACAGTGGCCCCCGCACCTCTCACCCTCCACACCCTTCTACAAGACCAGGCAGGATCTCTGTTCAGATTCTTTCACCCAAAAACCCTCTCGGCCCTACTCGGCGTCTTGCACAAAGGTGCTTGAGGTGCCACTCAATCAAGCCACAGTCACAGAGGCCCTGGCCCCGTGCCAGCTGAGGAGGAATTCTTGTGTTGGCCCTCAGTGAGAGAAGGCTGTGTTCCGGCAGCAGGAGGCTGGGGGCTCATGCCCCTCAAGCGGTCCCTGTCCTTAAATGCGGCTCCGCTGAAACCCACCAGCCCACGAGGGAAAATCTGCTGGCTAGAAACTGTCGCAGGCAACCGGCTGGTCTCTGGAGAGACCACCAGGTCTGGAGCCGGGAGCTGAGGCCCTCCTCCCGGCCCTGCCACCAACTAGCTGACAGGTCCCTTCGGACCCCCGTGCCTCCGCTGTTCCAAGAGGGCAGGGGGAACGAGAAGATCTCAGGGCCCTCTCCCCTACTGGAGACCTCCTATAAGGCTCCTCCAATAACACGAGCTCCGTTCCTTCTAGCACCACCACCCGAAACACCGGAACCTTCCTCCATGCTCTGCCAGAGGCACTAACAGGCAATAAAGAAGCTATCGAGGGAGAAAGGCAAAATCAAGAGCAGGAACAGATAAATGCTTACCCAGAGGGCTCTGCTGCCTTGCGGAAAAGATCTGGTTGGTGCCCAGAACCAAGTCGCACGCACGTGCGTGTGTCTGTGTGTGTGTGTGCACGCGTGTGTGCACGTGTGCGTGTGTGTTTGAGTGGAGAGGCAGGGTCCCGGAGCAGATGCCAGAGGTCACCCCTGTCCGCTCGAGGGACAGGCACAGGAGCCGCTGGCTAACCAGGCCTCTCGGGGCGTTATTTCCCTTCTGATGCCAGGCTTGTCTGCTGCGGGCAGGGAAGGTCCAGCTCACGCGTCACCCACGTGCAGCCACACACCGTGCGCCATGAGGTGCCCACCTCTGATCACTGACCCCATCCCGACTGCAGCCCTGAGGGTGGGGGTGGGGGTGGGGGGACTGGGGGCTCCAGGCCGGTCCCCACCTCACCCCACAGTCCCTCCACGTTGGAGACTTTTCCTCCCACACCCAGGTCCCCTTACCTTTGAGGCTGTGAGATCAGACTGGGAGTAGACCATTTTCCGGAGGTTGCCGAACAGCCCCACCAGGGTGGCTCGGTGGCGGGCCTGGGACAGGCGGCGGCGGGCCACCCTCGGCTCAAGCTCCCACAGCTGTGCCAGGGGCCAGGGTATTGCTCTGCCACTGGGGTTACTGCCTTCTCCAGAGGTCGCCATTACAAGCTGCTGTGTAACAGTATGCCCTTCTTTGGCCCTAAATAATAAAAATACAGTACTAAAGAAAGAGGAAGGCAGACTGAAACAGAAAGGGGTTACCACTCCCAAGTAACGGGTCCCAAACCGACGAATATAATCGGTAACATACACAATAAAGAACAGAGGACACAAAAATCCGGAATTTAAACTGGACTCCTAAGAACACAAGCTGCTCATATTTGACTTACAGTTGAAGGGCACTGCTGCTTTACCCCAGGGATTTTCCAGAACGTTGCAGGTACTCACCAGACACTTGTTAAATTGACTGGCCGTGGCCAAGGAGAGCAAGCCATACCCCTGAGATCTCATTCCTTACAGTCTGTGAAAAGCTGAACAGGCATGTGTCCGCACCCTTTGAGGTCTTTTCTCCCATGAGAATGCACCCTTATTTGATCTAGGTAGTGGTTACACGGGTATATGTACAAAAAGAAATCCATCAAGGTGTGTCCTTAGATTCGTGAATATATATATATATATATATATATTCACAAATATATATATATATTCGTGAATATATATATAATCTCAAAAAAGGAGAGATGCACTTTTCTACCTGTGAAAGCAAAAAGTCACATAATGACAGAGATTTAGAAGCAGGTGTCCCTTGGCCTGCTGTGCATTCTGAGGATGATCATTAGGTTGTCACATCTGAGTTTACAAAGCAGGAGACCTCCCCTAGGAGAGGCAATTCTGGGATGGATCCATAACAGTTTTAATAAAAGACAGGGACCAAGGTCTCTTACCTGAGTCATAGACTCCTCCTTCAGGCACTCACCCCACCACCCAGAGGACAGCCAGCCCTTTGAACAGAGGGGCCACATCTTCATCACCTCTGTACTCCCAGAAGGTGCTCAGTGCTGGGGTTTTGAGTGAATTCTAATGGAAGCCCTCCACTGGGTCCCAGGCTTCCCTGAGCTCAGTCCTGCCTGCCACCCAGGGACATTCCATGACCTCAGCCTGGGGTTTGCTTGTTTTGATGTATGTCAATCACCTGGGGGACTGTAGGAAATACACACGCCCAGGCCCCACCTTGAAAATACTGGTTCGGAATCTACTGGGCCCAGGCATCTGGTGGGCAGCCGGCTCCCCAGGTGATGCTGATACCTTCACGGTTTGAGCCATCACTAGGGCCCATACAGCAACACCTCTCTCCAAGCACCACATCTGGCAGCTGGGAACGAAGTCTCCTCCATAGAGGGAATGTCGGGGAAGGGGGCTTGAGAAAGCATTCCCACTAAGTTCTACAGGGAGAACCAGCCACAGAGATAGTGAACCCAATCAGGCAGCATGGGATTTGTAAAACACCACTTAGATCAGAAAACAAATCTACCAACAACGTAATTTTCACCAATGGGTCTATTTTCCCTCTCTTCGCTTCTCAAAACAATGGCAGGAAGATAGTAAGTGGGTGCCACTACGTCTGTGGGTGTCTGTGCCACTGATCTGTGAAGCTCCTGTAACATTTATTACCCAGAATGCCACCATCGGTGCACAGAGGACAGCCGCAGAATCTGCACAGGCCCATCCAGCCTGATGGCTGGGTTAAAAACTCTCTATAGCCTCACTTCCCAGACACTGACAAATCTTTAATAGGGAGCAAAGTGAAACAAAGAAACTTTTGATTTGCCTGGGGAAGAAATAAAAATCTTTTGAACCGAAGAGCGTAGGTTTTCTTTAATTGCTTAAATTAAGAAGAAATGAATGTGCCTGGACACCAGGGAATTTAGGTCAGTGAACAGAAGTAAAATAAACACTAGGATTCTCCCAGGATCTAGAATTCTCTAAGAGTCTCAGAATACTGACACCAAAGGCCCCTGGGCTTATGGGAAATCTGAAGCTCTCGCGGTGCCAATGCTGGTAATCGGGGTTTCCTCCCAGGCTTCTCCCCAAACACACTCCACCCAAATACCTGGAGGGCTGTGTGGTTTCAGTCACAGGATAAGGGTTGTGACCCCCTGCCTCTCGCAAAGGGGACGGACCCCCTGGGCCAGTCTTCACTGCCTGCCACTAGGGGTGAAGCCAGTCCCAGAGCATCCTGCCCACCTGCCGAGCCGGGGCCTCTGCCTCACCCTGCCTGCCCCAGGCGCCCCGCGATCAGGAGTCTGAGATCGTTTCCCCCTTGAGGCAGGAGCAGGGCAGGACGCAGGGATGATGGGAGAGGATCCTTCCCTCAAGCCAAGCAGATATGAAACTTGATAAGACCCTGTGCAATTTTAAATGTCCTGCTCCTAAATGCCAACCTGCTCTCTGCTGGGAATGAGCTGGTAGGATCTCCAGAAGGCATGCGTCTCGAGTTGTCTTTATTGACTTGCGCTGTGCACCTCACAGGAGCTGAGGTGTAAGTATTGTTCAGACAGAGCTTTTTGTTGGGATAATACAGGTGGATCTGGCCTGTCCGCACCTGTGGTCTGTGGCAGGGGGTGGCTCACGGGGTGAGTACCGCAGAAGCCACAGTCTCGGTGGGGGGAGGGGAGAGCAAGACCCTCCTTCTGCCTTTTCCCCAGGTTGGCTCTTTTGCTAGGAAAGGGGGAACCAACTGTAAAAATGAGATTGAGAAGGGATCTTTTATTTACGACAGAACAAAACAAAAACAAACCTTTTCCCCTAAATGTCCTGTGCAGGGGCCACGTGTGTTAAGGAAACTGCCCCCAGAGGTATAAGGACAGCAGAGTCCCAGACTCTGTCCCCGGGACCTGGAAATCTGCATTTTGATAGCAGACTCTCCCATTTTCCCTCCCCTCACACCAATAACAGAAACATTTGCTCTCCTGCCCACCACCCTCTATTCTGTGGCCCCTGCCTGTCTGCCCTGGGATGCCGCCCCTCCTTCTGTCCCCTGCCCCCCAGTCTCTACCTATTGAGAATCAACCTGTCCTTTTATTCCTAGTTTAGGCCCCAATTCCTCTAAGAAGTTGGCCAGCCCCATCCACACTGGTTTCTAACTTAATCTTGTTTTGCCAACAAATTAGTAAAATCCTTGGCTGGGATTAACGTATGGGCATCTAAACCGTCCTTCGCACGGCAGGTCAGAGTAAGACACGATAGGATGACGAAAAGACCCTGGAGGCAGGGAATAACAGCTAGTCCAACCAAAACCCAAAAGCCCTCTCTGGATCCTAAGCATAACGATCTCTTGAATTCAGTTTTTGGCCAGATCCACAGTGAGAGGCACACATCTCGGAAGCTTAAAAAGCCTTCGAAGGGGTTGCTGGCCGGTTGCCACACAGGAGAGGAGGGGAGGGATTACCCAGGGGCAAGAATCTGGATACCTCTCCTGACTCCAGAAACTGGCCACGTTTGGGGGATGAGTGTAAATGTTTGGGCAACCAAAATGTGTGAGAATCTTGGGAATTCAGGACAGAGCTAGTGGGGGGGGGGGGGGGGGGGGGGCAGGACACTAGGCCTAAGAACCCACCGTGGGTGGGATGACGCTACACCCAGAGATGGTACCCGGCCAGTGGGATGAACTGGTGTAGGGCAAGGCTGGCTGGATTATCCACTGGCTCAAGACCTGGACTGGACCTCCAGCTCCGTGTTAATCTCCCGTGTGACTTTGTATGAGCCAAGAAGCCCGAGGTCTTAATTTGTCTGTATAAAGGAGGGGAGAAAGTCTTTATAAAGTTTGCTGCCTCTGTAAGGTCACTGTCACGATTCTATGACCACCCGGGGCAAAGGCACGCAGCACGAGCTACTCCTTTTAGCAGAAGTGGAGTACGCGAGGGAGTGGGAAGCTGAATCCGGAGGAATTCTGGGCTCTGCAGCCCTGTGGACAGAGGTTTGCTGGATACTTTTTCTGTGAAAACCCCATTCATTCTGCAGGTAAACCCGGGCCAAAGATAATAGGCATTTCAGAATGCCTGACATATATTCCCTTTTAAAAGCTTTTCACTGTGTTCAAACCTGTGCGTCAGACCAGCAAGCACATCGCTCTGCAGTCCAACAAAGTCAGCAGACAGCCTCACTGACGGACTCTTCTAGAAAGGCACTGGGACGGTTCATACCGTCCTGCCTTTTTTTTTTTTTTGCTACTCCTCATCTGTAGAGCAAAGCACACTTTCAAGTTACCTTTCTCGACTTGCCTATTGAACACTAACCCGTTCCTATCAAAACACCACTTAATACACACTTGGAGTCGACATTTTAAAAACTCCCTACACTAAATTTTTGAAAAATGTGACCTCTGCCTCTTCTGCGATTCATAGAAATTTTCATCCGTTTTTAGCATCACTCCACAAAACGTTTGAGTGTGACGCTTATGAGCACACCCTGCGCGAAAGTACACAATAGGCTGGATAATGTTTTGCAACTCCCAGGCAGCTTCCTTTGGTTCCCTACGCTTATTACATCACGTAAAAGAGAAAGCCAAAATCATTCTCAGAACTCTGTACTTTGTCACGATGCCATACACAAACGCCCGCTGAAGGTCTGGCTCCAGACCTCAACGTTCACCTGCTTGGATCACGGGCACGCACAGCCCATACCTGTGCATGAACACCCACATGGCCAAGTGCACCTTTGCGAAGATGAGCCGGTGCAGTGATAGCAGCGGTTGGTCTATACTCACGCGCTGCGGGAGGTGGGCGCCCGTGCACACGACGTCCCCTCTCCCAGGACATGCGGGAGGTCGTCTGAAGCCCTGACAGCCGGGACAGTTGTCTAATGCCTCGCGCGCGAGCCAGACTGGGGACTCTAGATCCTACCCCCACCAGGAGACAGACCTAGCGCCTGGGCACCAGGCTGGGGACCAATCACGGCGCATCCCCGGCCAACACAGCCAATGGGGAAGCGCGGTGGCGGGCCAATGAGGGTGCGGGCCGTGGAAGAAAGAATGTAACCAGTTGTCTCAAGGACACACAAAAGGGAGAGAATGACCTTCTCACCTTGCCAGGTGGCTCCTTTTCAAGTGGAGGTCACGCGGGGACAGGGAGGGGGTGGGGGGATGCCTCTGCCACCCCAGGTGCCCCACACAGCCCACAGAGGACTAAAGGGAAGTTCTCTAACTGGTTCCACTCACCGGACACTGAGCCCAGTTTTCCTCATCCGTCAAGTGGGACAATGACACCTACCTTACAGGGTTATCTTGAGGCTTACAGAAGACACCTTAAATAAAGGGTCCAGAGAACTAGGGGCTCCCCATCTCAGGGAAAAGATGAAAACATGTAGGTAGTAAGGAAACCGGCATAAAGGGGGTGGGCCAGGGGAATGATGTTTTAAATAAGGGGAGAGAACTTTGGGGAGGGGGGCGTAAGAAGGTTAGAAAAGAGACCTTCAAAAGCTTGGATTAAAATATCAAGAAATAATAAAAAAAGGACTCACTCTTTGGGACAACAGGAAGCAGACATTCTTTCAGTTGAGGGGGAAAAATTCCTTTTCCCCAAATCTAGATATACTCTTGTCTTTTGGCCTCTTTTTGCTTGATCCCCTGCACCCGTAAATATTTCCTGAAGGTCGTGACCCCATCGCATCAGCTGTGCGCCAGGAGCAGTAGCCAGGCCAGGTGCCCCCTTGCTGCCCTCTGAGGGGGCCGAACTTCACCCCGGGGCAGGGGTCACACAGAGGTCTCACACCTAGCTGTGGGCTTGGTGGTGCACAGATCTGGATCTCTGTCCAGAAGTGCCCTCCCCGTGACTGTGAGGACCATGAGTGAGCCAGCCCTAGCTAAACCGTGCAAATAGGCCACCTGGCATTCCGTCCACACTCCAGAAATTCAACTGCAGTGAGTGCCAGACTCCTCTTTAAAAAGGATTTTGGGGGATTATTGAATTATGTGTTATGTACAAAGAAACTGTCACATAGAAAGCACCTGGTAAGAATCAATTACCCTCCTTTTCAGGGTAAATGTCAAATGTTCATTTCAGTTCAATTCTGCTTAGGTCCAGGCTCTCGGGTGGCCTTTGATGCAGGGTCTCTGAGGGCCCCTGAGGAACTCCTTTCTCCCCCCCCCCTTCCTGGTTTCTCTCCCCCCACCACTTCTTGCCTCCCACCATCAGCCCCTCCCCCCACCCTCCGCAGCACTGCTGGGGCCCCGGGGAGCAGAGAGTGCTGGGGAGTCTGCAGCTCCGTCCTGGACAGCCTCCCCTTTGCACCGAGAGGACACAGAGGGGCTCAGGGACCTACCTGCCTCAGGTTTTCATCTGATCAGTGCCCCCCCCACAACCTCACCCCTCAACCCACACCACACTGCCTCCCTGGATGCGCCGCCCTGGGAGAACCAGATCTGCATCCAGAAGAAATGCAGTCGGGGGGCAGGGGGATGTTACTAGGAGACCCCTTTACCTGCAGCAGCCTGATTTCTTGATTGGAAATGGAGATCTCTGTCCACGTCAGTCAACCTTCCCCACAGCTGCGAGGAGGAAGGCTCTGCTCCTGAACCCTGGTACCTCCCGGTGGCTCTCTTCAGCTTCAGATACAGAGTTCTCCTCGGCAACAGTCACACACACTGTCACTTTTGACCCTGCCCCCTCCCTCCCAGTAGCATAGATCCTTCCCTGAAATACCACCCCCCTTACACAGTAGCATAGATCCTGCCCTGAAATCCCCCCTTCCCCCCATCGGTTGGAGGGCACTCCCTTCTCCTGGATCTAGCTGACCACCAGGTCCACCAGGACGCCTCTAAGATCCCTGCATTAATGCCACCCCTGTGGGGCCACCCCTGTTCTGCGCCACTTGGCCTTGACTTTCTCGTTAGAAGAAAAGCCTTTTGCGCTTGTTCCCCATTGTTGGTCTATCGACTCCATGTGGTAAAGGGCAGGGGCCTCAGACCGTACCATTTTTACATCCTTCAAACTAAATGAGAGCTATGGGTTGTGTATTGGGTACCCACGATGTTCCTAATCCTTACGGACAAGTCTGTGAAGAGTCTTAACTCCATTTTATAGATGGGGAAGCCAGACTCCGAGAAGGGCAGTGATTTGTCTAAGATCTCAACATCTAAGGTTCTTTCTGGTTCTTTGCTTTCCATGGCTTTTGGGGTGACATCTCGTGAGATGACTATCAACTACCTTAGGCCAGAGAGAAATTTACCTGATTTTATATGCTTCCGAACAAAAGACCCGCAGCTTTGAACTGAGGGCTGTGGACAGTGGCTCTTGGGCAAGGATGTAGGGATACCGGAACCCTGTGCCCTGTTTGCGGAAATGTAAAACGGTACAACTGCTGTGGAAACAGTATGGAGGATCCTCAAAAAGTTACAAGTAGAACTAACTGCCATATTATCCAGAAGTTTCACTTCTACATATTTATCCAAAAGAAATGAAAGCAGGATCTTGAGGTGTTGGCCTCCCGCGTTCATCTACCATCATTCACAACAGCTAAGAGGTGGAAGCAACCTAAATGTCCATCAACAGATGAATGGAAAAGAAAATGTGGTGCACACACACTGGAATAGTATTCAGTCATAAAAAAAGATGGATGAATCTAGAGGACATTATGCTAAGTGAAACAGGCCAGTCGCGGAATGACAAATACTGCATGATTCTACTTGTAGGGGCTATCTAGAGTAGTCAGACTCATAGAAGTAGATTGCTAAAGAGTGGTTGTCTGCAGCTGGGGACAGTAAAATGCTGGTTACAGGGGCTGGGGGCAGTCACCAGGGGGACATAGGGAGCTGCAGTTCAATGGGTATAGAGTTTCAGTCACGTGAGATGAAAAAGTTCTAGAGATCTGGGCACGTAGTTAACAATGCTGTGCTATACACTTAAAACTTTGTTAAGGGTAGAGGCGCCTGGGTGGCTCAGTTGGTTAAGGGTCTGACTTCAGCTCATGTCACGATCTCATGGTTCGTGAGTTTGAGCCCCTCACGGGGCTCTGTGCTGACAGCTCACAACCTGGACCCTGCTTCAGAGTCTGTGTCTCCCTCTCTCTCTGCCCCTCCCCACCTCAAAAATAAATAAACATTAATTTTTTTTTTTTAATTTTTAAGGGGGTAGATCTCATCTTACATGGTTTGTTGTTGTTGTTGTTTTTACTACAATTAAAAAAAGCAAGTTGAGGCTAAGTGATTTACTCAAAATTCAAAAGCCAACCAGTGGTGTCTCAATGTGGAGTTTTTGCCATTTTTATAGTGTCCTTCATGAAACTATGGATATATTCTTTACTTAATAAATATTTATTGTGTGTCCATTATGTGCCAAACAGTGTTTTAGGTGCTGGAAATATAATGATAAACAAAACAGACATAAAAGCTGATTCTTGTTGAGTTTTAACTCTAGTGCTGGGGGAGGGAATAAAAAATAAAAGTGTTTCTATATTAGAAAGTTTGATAAGGAGGGAAATAGGGAGTACAGGGGAGAGGGTCCATTTCAAATAGGGTGGTCAGGGAAGATCTCTCAGAAAAGAGATTTGAGCCAAAACTTGAAGGAGGCCAAGAGTAAGCCAAGTATATAACAATGGGGAGAGTGTTCTGGGCGGAGGGCTCGGTACATGCAAAAGCCCTGGGGCAGAAGTGTGCTGAGTGCAAAGCAAGGCGTCCCTGTGGCTGGAGCAGAGTGAGGCAGTGAGTGAGGGGCAAAATAGTGAGACATGGGATCAGAGGGGCAAAGGAGAGGGGTGCAGGGTTTCACGCGGCCACTCTGGCTGCTGGGTTGAGACGAGACAGGAAGCCAGGGTGGAAGCAGGAAGATCAGGTGAGCCGTTAGAATTATATAGGAGAGAAAATACGAAATGTGGTGGTGAGGTTGAGAAATCATTGGATATTGAAGGGAAAGCTCACAGAATATCCTGATGTGTTGACGGCGGAGGTGGGGGCGTGGCAGAAAGAGGGGAGTCAAGAGTGACCCCCCAGGTTTTGAACTTGGACAACTGGAAGAAGACAATGAAACAATGGGGAAGACCATGGGCCAGGTGGCGTCAGTCCATGTGAGTCAAATCATTGGTCAACCCCTTTATTAATTTTCTAGATAAGCTTAATTTTAATTGAGCAAACAATACACATTCCCCTTATGAAAAACGAAAACATCTTGAGTCCACTCCTAGAGTTCCCTCCACTTTGTAGAATTAATTGCCGTCATTAGCTTGATATGAACGCTTCCAGATCCTTTGCTGGATGTTTACATGCCTATGGACGGTCCCTTGGAAAATGTAGTTTGGTTTTGCAAGTTTTCAGAGGAAAGAATGTTTCCATAAACGTATCACTCCGAAGCTTGATGTTTTCACTCGACCACGTAGGTGGAGATCTACCTCATTCATTTACTGCTGCACAGTATTCCATAGATTCCGTAACTAGGGCGGAAAGGTGAATCCATTTGAAAGCGAAGAAACCTCTTGCGACGTGTGTTAGGGTCCTTTAGAAGATTAGTATACATACGCACATTCATTTACATATATGTGTGTATACACATATGTACATGGGGTCGGCAGGGGGGCTGCCCCAGTTATTGCAGTAGATAAAAGCAGGACTGCAGAGCGCAGGGAGTTACTTTTTAGGAAGCATGGCAATCAAGGTGGGATTCCCCCATGCAGTCTTCCCTTGTTTGTGAAGGCAGTATTACTTATTAACCTGGGAGTCTTGGATTGTTCTAGCAGTGAAAGTGAATGATTTTATAGACTCATAAACCTATGGACTCCTACTGCTGGCAGCCTAAGGATGCCATTACTGGTGGTTTACTGTCCTGTGTAAATGGGACTTGGCTGCCTTCTGGGATAGAAGGTGGAGGTGTGGGAGAGGGGCGGGGTCTCTGATTTGAGCTACTCCTCAGGGGGTATGGTCACAGTGGTCTGAGAAAGGTGGTTCACTTTCAGTCTCGGGGGCCCATGATCACTAAACAGACAGGCCAATGTTCCCAGCAGGTGCCTCATCCCAGCATGGGCTAGTAGCGCTGGAAGGACCTCAGGGTCCTTCTGATCCAAGATCTTTACGTTGCAGATGTGGAAGGGGAGCCAGGGAAATGTCACAACTTGATGATCAGAGTTCATGTGTGAGGTCCTATAGTTGGTTCCCCAAACTGAACTGTAGAGGCACAGAATTGGGAATTCCCGGTTTGGCAGCAGCTTATAAGTTTTGGGGAGGACAGTTGTAAAAGCTTTGTGTGTGTCAGCACTAAGATATGGCAATGAAAAAAGAATGTGCTGTGTTTAAAGATAGTCATTATATTTATAAAAGAAAATCGATATGGGTTTGTGGTAAGGAATCTGAAAAATATTAAACAGTATAAAGACAAAGTCAGGGGGCGCCTGGGTGGCTCGGTCGGTTAAGCGTCCGACTTCAGCTCAGGTCATGATCTCGCTGTCCGTGAGTTCGAGCCCCACGTCGGGCTCTGTGCTGACAGCTCGGAGTCCGGAGCCTGTCTCAGATTCTGTGTCTCCCTCTCTCTCTGACCCTCCCTGCTTCATGCTCTGTCTCTCTCTGTCTCAAAAATAAATAAATGTTAAAAAAAATAAAAAAAAAAAAGACAAAGTCAGAAACCGCCCATAAAATCCACACTTCTTTCTAACACCTAAAGCCAATAACTGTAGATATTTTGTGTGTACGTATATATCAAAGATACAATCCACACACTTTATTTTTTATTTTTTTAATGTTTATTTTTGAGACAGAGAGAGACAGACAGAGCGCCAGCAGGGGAGGGGCAGAGAGGGAGAGAGACACAGAATCCGAAGCAGGCTACAGGCTCTGGGCTGTCAGTACACAGCCCGATGCCGGGCTTGGACTCGTGAACTGTGAGATCATGACCCGAGCCAAACAAAGTTGGACGCTTAACTGACTGAGCCACCTAGGCACCCCCATAGCACACTTCTTAAAATTAAACTTAAAAATAAATAAATAATTAAACTTTATATTTTGAAGTAATTGTAGATACATATGCAGTTGTAAGAACTAATATAGAGAGATCCATGTACCAAGTTTCCCCCGACGGTAACATTTTGCAAAACTATAGTACAGTATCACAGCCAGGATATTGAAATTTATAATCTACCAGTATTATTCAGATAGTCCTATCTTACTTGTACACATCTGTGTGTGTGTGTGTGTGTGTGTGTGTGTGTGTGTGTTTTAGTTCTCTACAATTTTATGGCACGTGTAGGTTCCCGCATCCACAAACACAGTGAAGACGAACAGTTCCATCACAAGGAGCCTTCACTTTGTCCTCTTATAATCATACTTCCTTCCACACACACCTGCCAGCTCACCCCTGGCCCTTGGCAGCCACTAATCTGGTCTCCAAATTCTCTAAATGTTGTCTTTTCCAAAGTGTTAAGCAAACGGAATCCTATCTTTGGTGTGTATGTTACCTTTGGAGATTGGCTTTTTTTTTCAGCAGCAGAATCTGCTTGAGATCCATCCAGGTTGTGCGTGT